AAGTTGTTTTTTTATGCTATTGGCAACAATCCTCAGGTGGGCCTTCCACGCCCAGCATCATGCTGATTCAGTTCAGCTGAGTGTTACAAGTTGACCATTAGTTAATCCACCACCAACCTGTATGTGTCAATTTTATTTATATCAATTCAAATTAGTTTATCACCTTAGTGTGAAAGACCAGTGTTTTTAAGAACAATTCCATACCTTAAATATATCAGGTTGTAAGATTAGTGAATTTGAATTTTATTTATATTGATAAAACTGAAAATAAAACCTGCGTTAACAGTGCTGTACTTTTCTCAGGCTTAAAACCTTGAGCTTGATCATTTGCTACAATGGTTCACAGAACTCAGGAAAAAGTTTGCTTAGTTGATTAATGGCTTGTTACAAAGAATGTATTAAAGGATTCATGTAAGCAACCCCATGAAGAAATGCCTAGGGTGAAGTCTGGAAAAATTCTGAGCTACTGTCCCAGAGGAGTTTTGTGATATGTCACCTAGCATGTGGATACATTCCTGTTCATGAACTTGAAAATTCTTTGAATCCCGTCTTTTTGGGTACCTATGGAGGCTTCATTATGCAGGTATGATTGAATAAATCAGTGAACATTGGTGATCAAATCAGTCTCCAATCCCTTTCCCTTCTCTAGAAGCTGGAAGGAGGGAAGGAAAAAGGATGGAGGGAGACAGAAGTTCTAGCCCTTAATCACTAGTTCCCTGGAAACCAGTCCCCCATCTTTAAGCACTTTCCAAAAATCAGATCATTAACATAAACTTGGATGTGGCTGAAAGAGGCTTGTTATAAATATTGAAAGATGGCTCTTAGTTGTTTGTGTTACAGATGAAGAAAGAAACAGAAGGTCTGAGACTTGCCTAGGGAACTGTACATGTTTCTCGTATTTGACAAAAGGCGCTTTGTAGATGTGATTAGGTTAAAAATGGTAAAATGAAAGATTATTCTGGCTGGGTTCAGTGTAATTGTAAGGGTTCTAATATGAAAAGGATAGAAATGTAAGAAGCAGAGGAAAAGAGAAATAGAATGGAAGATGCTGCATTGCTGACTTCGAAAGTAAAGGACATATCCATGACCCAAGGAATGCAGGCAGCCCCCAGAGGCTGAAAAAGGCAAGAAAACATACTCTTCAGCAATTTCAAGAGGCATCTGGTTCTACCTAATTGATTTTAGGCCATGATACTGACCTTGCTTTTTTGACCTGCCGACTATATCGTAACTACCTTACATTATTCTAACTGACTAAGTTTGTGATGGTTTGTTATAGCAATGTTAGGAAAACAGTAGAAACATCATGCTCCTTTTTCAAAATATAAGATAAACTTCAAAGAACTAGTTGAATAAACCACTTAAAAATAAATGAATGAAAATAAAACAACTAACAATTTGTAGGGAAATGAGAATCCAAAGTTCTTATAAAATCTTATATAAAATATGTACTTTTCAACAAAAACAAATCAAAACAACAAGAACAAAAGCTATTAGAGGTAATAGAGCACCAAAACTGTGACATATGCATCAGAAACACAAACAGGTATGTAAGCCACTTTTTAAAAATTTCAGATTTGGATATAGCCAAGAGACTTCAAGGGAATCACAGTGAATATTTTCAAAGAACACTGGTTCCTTAAATAAGCAAATAGACTTCAGAAAATAAAAGGATGTCCCTCACTCCTGGATATTGTTAAAATGGTCCTATTCCTAAAATTATTATACTGTTTCAAGAAAATTCCAATCCAAACAGCAACAGCGTTCTTCACAGAACTAAGGAAAACACTCCTAAAATTCATCTGGAACCAGAAAAGATCCAGAATAGCAAAAGCAGTCTTGGGTAGAAGAGCAAAGCAGGAGCATTGCAATACCTAATTTCAAGCCATGCTACAAAACAACAGTGATAAAAATGGTACACTGCTGGCATAAAAACAGACATGTGGATCAGTAGAACAGAATAGAGGATATAAGAACATCCCTAGACATATTCAGCTATTTTACCATTGCTAAAAGGGCCAAAAGCATATGTTGGAGGAAAGATGGCTTATTCAACAAATGGTGCTGGGAGAACTGAGTATGTGTATGCACATGACTGAAGCTGGACCATATCTCTCACCATGTACTAATGTAAAATCAAAATGGATCAAACATCAAAACATTACAACAGAAACATTTAAGCTACTGGAAGATAAAATAGATAAAACACTGCAGTCATAGGTGTAGGCAAGGACTTTTACAGGACCATAGTTGCGCAAGAAGTAACAGCAAGAAGCAACAGATGGAATTAGTCAACAGTAACTGCTAATTTTGAACAAAGCGTTAAGATGTTGATGAGAATATCATTCCATGATGACAATAAGGAACATAAAACTCACCTAAAATTATTTTAATAGTATATACTTTATTTTTTATTTTATGGAAAACAACATTTCAAAATAAAATAATACAATAACAGTAGTCAGTATATTGCACATTATCATCAAAGTAGTTACTCAGAGTACAAGATGTGGATATAAAATATTCTCCAAATGATATTAGCACAAACCTTTCTTTTTAACGAACTAAGAGAAACTAGTAATATAGCTATCTCATATTTTTTTCTTTTCCCTTCCTTCCTTTCCCCTTTTCTCCACCCCAGCTCTTCTTTCCTTTTGAACAGTTTCTTCCCATTTCACATCTATTGTACATTTTGGACCTTATTTACTCTTTTAGTTTCTCACACTAGGGAGACAATATGATGTTTATACATGTGAGTTTGATTTATTTGACTGAGGAGCGTGGTCTCAAGTTGCATGCATTTATCTGTAAAAGTTTCAAGCTTATCTTTCTTTATGGCTGAGTGTAGTACTCCATTGTATAAAAAGACCACCCTTTTGAAATTTATTCCTCAGTGTCTTATCACCATGCACTAAGGTCCAGTGGATCAAAGATCTAAATATTAAAACAAAAACACTAAATCTACTGGAAGAGAACATAGGTGAAGACATAGGTGTAGGCAGAGAATTCACAGAAAAACTGCAGATAACAGGGAAATACTATAAAGAGTCAACAACTGGGATCTCATCTAATTAAAAAGCTTTTGCACAACAACAGCAAAAAAATCACCAACAGAGTAAAAAGATAACTCACAGAGTTAGTTGTCACTCAGACAAAGGACTTATATCTAGAGCATATAAAGAATTGAGTCAGTTGTCACTCAGACAAAGGACTTATATCTAGAGCATATAAAGAATTGAAAAAACCAGACCCCTCAAATTTAAAGACCTAATCCAGAAATAGGCATCTGAGATGAATACACACTTCTCACATGAAGAATTACAAATGGCAAATAAATATATGAAAAATGTTCAACATCATTGGTCATTTGAGAAATGCAAATTAAAACACTGAGATTCCGTCTCACACCAGAAAGAATGGCTGTCATCAAGAAATCAACCAATAACAAATGCTGGAGGGGCTGTGGGGAAAAAGGAACCCTTCTGCACTGTTGGTGAGAGTGTGTATTGGGTGCCACCACTATGGAAATCAGTATAGAGATTCCTCAAAAAACTATAATTAGAGGTCCCATTCAACCTAGTTATTCTCCTTCTAGCTATATTCCCAGAAGAATTAAAAACATCATACCATAATGATATATGTGTACCCATGTTTATAGCAGCACAATTTGTAATAGCTAAATCTTGGAAACAACCCAAATGCCCATCTATAATTATTTTTAAACTTATTTTTAGACCTAGTTCATTATATTAGTATCATTTTATATTAAGATATAAAAGTACATAACATTTGGAATATACAAAAAACTACAGTTAGAAAATGGAACATATGAAAAAAAGACCCTTATATGTACTAGGTTGGCTGTAATGAAAAAGATACTAACAAGTGTTGAAAGGAAACTGGAACTCATATATTGTGGCACTGTAAATGGTATAGCTTCCTGCTGATATATTCTGATAGTCCTCAGAATTTTAAACATAGAACATAGAATAACTTTTTGGCACAGCAATTCCCCTCCTAGGTTTATACCCCCCAAATTGAAAATATTTGTCTACACAAATCTCTTTTTTTTATTGGTACATGTTTATAGTACATGATGATTGCATTTATGTTGAGGGGGTTGTACATGTGCAAAACACATCTTAATTCTTTTTTGTCCCCTTACCCTCCCATCTCTCCTTCTAATGCTTGTTCCCCTTCTCATTTGCAAAAGCTCTATTTCCGTTTTTTTCTTCAATTCTCTTCCTTAATGCCATTTCCCTTGCCTCCCTCCACCTTCCCATTTGACAAAATTCTTCCCACTTCCTATTAGCTTTTATTTATATTTTGAGTTTCTCCATGTAAGAGAAACAATGCAATATTTAAACTTGTGTATCTGATTTATTTCATTTCACATTATGGTCTCAAGATGCAAAACCTTATAGAAGGATGGTCACAGCATTATTGTTGTGGAAACAACCCAAATGTCCATCAGCTGCTGAATGGATAATCAAATATGAATGAATATTCCTAGAATCTAATAATATTCCTGCCATTGAATATGATTCCTGCCATTGAAATTTAAGTCTGCCTTTGAAGGAGATTATTGCTTGTATAAGAAATACTAAAGCAAACAAAATAAGCCACTAATTATACTTCTTTTAGCTAGACACATTTCTGCAATCTTATATCTTCAGTATTTTAAAAATTCACATTTATTGAAGAACAGCTCACACACAGAATTGACCCCTTTCAAAGATACAATTCAGTGCACTTTGACAAACATATATAGTCATATTAAGTGCCAGTGCAATGAAATACAGAACATTTTCATTCTCTGCAAAAGTTTCTGTATGCTTCTTCATAGTGTCTTCATCCCCAAGCCCCTGACGATTATTGACCTGATTTCTGTTCTTGTAGCTTACTTCTTTAAGGATATAATTTAAACTGAAGTATACAGTATGCCTTTTGATGATGACCTAACACCTTTGGATGACACTGTTGCATTTTTCTGAGAGTATGAGATAATGGGTTATACAAGTATGCTGCACATGTAACATGGATGCTCTGTGCCTGAACATTGTGCTTCTAGTTGAACTACATTTGAAATGTCACAAGTGGCAGAACTGATCAGAACTCATAGCAGCTATACATATGCCTGAAATTAGGATTTTTAACTTTTTTCTCCAAGGGCCTAACTAGCTTAGTTGATGCTCTTACATTTACATTTTTTCTGTAGCTACAGAGTTATGATCTGGCCAAATAAGCAAATAGCTCTTAAGTCTTACAAGGGAAGGCATCTCTTGCAAATCACTGTGGTTTCTGTGCCCATGATTTGGAAAGATTAATGTATTTTATGGTGATATATATAGCAGAAGATGAGGAATACATTTTAGTGTGTATATTTTATTCTACTATATTATCATCTGCTTTCTTAGTTTTGCTAGTTTTTAGAGAAAGAATCCAATTCCCCAGTCAGATGTATTCAAAATGACATTTACGATGACATGGTTGCTAGCAGAAGTGATTTAAATAACTTCCATTTTATTTTATAGAAACAGTCAAATGCTTGATGAAGATGACATATTGAATGAAGCACCCAAATCTCCTGTGATTAATTTACCTGATAAGAAAAGTGGTGCCTCACATCTGGAAAGAACCACAGAAATAACTGAGACCCAGACTACTACTACAAGTAGTTTGGTGAGAAATGTAAAATCTCATCCACTTGTGACATATTCCTCAAGATTTTTTAGATCAGGTCTTGCTATGTAGCTCAGGCTGGCCTTGAGCTCACTGAGTAGTCTAGGCTGACCTTGAGCTTGTGGTGATCTTCCTGCCTCTGCCTCTTAAGTTCTGGAATTATAGGTGTGTGCTACACCTGGCTCTTCAAATTATTTTGTGTAGAGAAAAGACAACTAAAATTAGGCACATCAAACAACATTGCTAGGATTGATCTGCTTTTCCTGTTTTTAAGTTAAACTATAGAGCAGATCTCACTGGGCCTAGGCTGCAACTAATATAGATACTTTCTGTAAGAGAGATGACATTCATTCCACAGTTGCAGATGGATATTTTGGTGGTAGTTTTCTGCACAGTAAATAATTTTACAAATTCAATAAGGATGCATGCTTATCCTTCGGAATTTATTTATTTGTATGTGTCTTTTTAGTCCTTCACAGGTGAATGCAGAGGCTTAAGTAAAAAGCAATCAGATCCTGCCCAGAGGAAAAGAATCCTTCCAACTTGGATGTTACAAGATTTAAGTGATCAAAACCTTTCAGCATCTGTCATTAGTAGAGGTAGGTGTTTATTTGTTAATGTTGACTTTCAGGAAAGCAAGCAGAATTAGAAAGTTTTCTTGACTGAATAGAATAGTGATTGTGTAAGGTGCAAGTTATCCTAATAATTTCTATATGGGTATGTGAAGTCCAATTTAAAACATGTTTTGTGTTATAGCATTTATCAGACACCATCATGCTGATTGTATTATCTTCTGATAATGAGATGTATTAATACAGATGTTCAAACAATTTTGTTTGTGTCATGTCTAAGATAAAAGGCCAGCACAATATAATTAATTAAATTTTTAAAATGATGCACATATAATGTTTGTGCTGGAAGATTCAAAGAAGATGTGATCTCTGTCCTGGTATAGTTTACTGGCCTGTGGATATCACAATGATTTTGTTTTCTACTGAGTAGCCTTATTTTTTTTTTCCAGATTTTTAAACTTGTTTACTAATTGTCTTATTTAGGAAAAATTTTATTTTTTGGGAAGTAACAAATTACTCAGTTAGTTTAATCAAAGAAGACTTTGTAAGGTTAGTCAGGGTGGTTCTTCAAATGCAAGTATGAAGTGAGATCTAACTATACAGTGAATATTTAAATTTTAAAAATTTTATTAAAGTAGAAGACACGTTGCTATTAATCCCCCTCACAATATTCCTTCTCACTTTAAACACACCTTTCCCATCATTTTTGCCACTTTCTGAAGCAGTTCTGGAAGTTTTTCCTGTCTCTAGATACACGGCCGCTTTTCTTCACTCTCTCTCTCTGAAGCAGGGACTGGTAGGTTCTGTTTACCTATGACTTTGCAAATGTCTTAGGCTGCCTAACTTCTGACAATGGCCCAAACCCTTTTTTCTTTAAGCTTTTACTGCCAAATTGTTACTGGGCAACTCCATCTCTCAATTCTAAGTTACTTTTTAAAAAAAATTTATTTTAAAAATAAAAGAAGGAAAACATTAACAAACAGACATCCATTTACAAAATACCACAAGAACAATACAAGCAATACAGAGTTACAAAGTGGTAGGAAATAGATCTGTTTGGTCTACTTTAAGTCAGGTCTCCCCGGGTTCAGGTTTTTTTAAGTGAGAATGGTCAGAAAGGAAATAAAGGATACCTCATATATATATGTATATATGCAGAAGTTAATAAAAACTCTATGTAAGTCATTTAAAAATTTCCAGTTCTGCTCTATAAAATTACTTATTTGTTTAAATTTATTTTTACCTGAAAAAATACTATGATAATTGTATATATTTCTGGGATGCAATGTCATATTTTATTCTATGTATACATTATTAGAAATAGTCAGGCTAACATATCTATCACCTTATCAGTTTACCATTTTTTGTGGAGAGGATATTAAGAATGTATTCTGTTAGCAATTTTGTGGAGAGGATATTAAGAATGTATTCTGTTACCAGAATTCTATCATGATGGTGTCTGATAAGTTTTGAAATATATGTACCTTATTACTATAGTCACCAGGAAGAGTCATATATCATTAAAACTTATTCCTCAAGTTTAACAGAAACTTTGTGCCCTTTTATCAACATTTTGACTTTTCCCATCCCTCTGCCTCCTCATGAGCCTCTTAGAACCATCCTTTTTTTACTCTGTATGAGATCAACTTTTTTAGATTTTACATATAAGATTAAGATTACCTGGCACACTGGATTTCTAATTAAAATATATTATGCTGCTTGATTTTGTTTCAGTAATGTTAGTTATGTTCATTTTACTTTAATCTTTAGTTTTTAGTTTTCTCTCTTCTTTAGGGTAATTTTTTATTGATATGCTTTGAAGATTCTTTTTTCTGTTATTACTGTTAAGCCTACCTAGTGAATATTTTACATTCAGTTATTGTACTCTGCAGTTCTAAAATTCCTGTTATTTTTTAATAATTTATCTTTAATGAGCTTCCCCATTAATAACTGTGTTAAAGTACATATCTTTGTGCCACTTTTCAGTTATCTCAGTTAATTTCTATTAACTTCTTTTATATGGATCACATTTTCTTGTGTATTCTATAGTGATTTTCTAATGAATATTGGATGTTACAAATATGTATTATAGATGCCCTTTATGTTTCTCTGAAGAAATATTTTTATTCATTAACTTAATTAAATTACTTAATTTAATGAAACCTTAATCTCTGTTTTCCGTTTTGTGCATAACAGCTACAATGTTAACTTAGCTTTTCCATTTACAGCAGTGGCTTTTTTCCTGGGTTGCTCAGGTTTTCTTCCCTTTTTTTTTTTTTTTTGGTTTTTTTTTTTTCCTCCGGTACCAGGAACTGAACTCACGACCTTGCGCTTGCCAGGCAGGCGCTTTTGCTGCTGAGCTAAGTCCCCAGCCCCAGGTTTCCTTCCTGAGCATGTAGTTTAGCAGTCAACCAAGGATTTGCATTGATTTTATATGTAAATTTTGGTTCTTGCCCCTTCTGAGTCTCCCTTCCAGGATTTTACCTCAAATTTTTATCTGTTCTGCAATCATCAGATCCTGTCCTCTGACCATTTAAGCTGGTAAAACTATAGCTTTCCGCCACCTGTACATTAGAGAATGCCTTCAGGAAAGCAGCTACAGATTCACAAACCTCATAGGTAGTGCTTCATTTTTGCAATTTAAACTCTTTTCCACCTCTGTGTTTTTGTTCATTTTCCAGTGTCTTTAAGTAGTTGTTTTCAAAATATTTTGTCCTGAACTTACAATGGGACAATTACATCAATTAAGATATTTGACCATTTATGCTAAACGTTATATTTTATAAATAGTCAAAATGAATGCATGTTTTAGTTGGAATGTCATTATCCTTAATGATTCTTATATTTATAAGAATAAACTTTGGATCACCTAAACTTTTGATCAAATATATCATGCACAGAATATACCTTCTAAATGCTAGTTCGGATGATAGTAGGATAAGAGTGTTCTGGGAAAAGTAGGTTATACAGTATGTGTTTAAGGGAACATAGTTTAATTTGAAGAATTTTCAAGTATAAACCTACGAGTTTCCTAGTAAGGGGATTATTTCATTATGAATTAACAAATTATTTGCCTGCAAAGGACATTTTAAATTAAAGGCAAGTAAGAGACTGGAAAACAATATACAGAGAGATATTACCTGCCTCACTTAGAAAAGATTAAAGATTATTTTAAAAATTGTGTAGTTAGTAACAAAAAAGATTGTACTCAATAAAATTTTGGATGTTGTAGGTGATATGTTACAGGAGAAAAAATACAAATAGTTAAAAAATATATAGCTGTACTATCAGATAGGAAAGTTTAAATGAAATAATGTTACCATTTTTGTTTGTATTCTCATGAGATTTAAGCAATTGATAAGATCTGTTCCTGACCGAAGGGGGTAGTGTTGAATACTATTGGTAGAAGTATAAATGAATATAGTCTTTTGAAGCCATTTTCCAGAATCTCTTAAATATTTTAATATACAGCTCACTTTGACCCATAAATTACAGTTCTAGGTATTTATCATTCAGAAATAACAGCATTTATATTTTTTATTCATGTATATATTTAATAAACATGTTGGCACATACATTTGCTTAAACTTAGAAAAAAGTTGAGGATACATATCACTTGGTTAAGTAGTTTTTCGGGAGAGTAAGATTGGATGGCTGTACTGCTTTGTTTTTGGAAATTAACAATGGTTGTTATGTTGCATATTATTATCTTCAAAATAGTTGCTCAAATTACCAGATAAAGAATGGCTATTATCAAGAAATCAACCAAGAACAAATGCTGGTGGGGCTGGGGGAAAAAGGAACCCTTCTCCATTGTTGATGGGAGTGTAGTCTAGTACAATCATTGTGGAAATCAGTGTGGAGATTCCTCAAGAAACTAGGGTTAGTGGTCCCATTCAACCCAGCTGTTCCCCTTCTGGGTATTTTCCCAGAAGAAATGAAAACATCATACCACAGTGATACAAGTGCACCCATGTTTATAGCAGCACAGTTTATCATAGCTAAGTCTTAGAAACAACCCAAATGTCCATCAACCGAGGAGTGGATAAAAAAGATGTGGTATTTTTATACAAGGGAGTACTACTCGGCTATAAAGAAGGATATACTACCTTTTAGTGCTGCTTATACATTTAATTGAGCTATCTAGCATTCATCAGCTCATAGCTATCACTTGTATCATAGCAGCTCACATACATACAAGTAGTAATTGTTAAAAATAAACTGAGTTATATTAATAGTTAATTTCTTTTATATTTCTGTCATTTAACTGTACTTATGCTGACTTAGAAAAAATTGATATACTAGATATAAAGCTTTTGATTCAAGTAAGCTATTTTATGTATACTTTGTGAAGAACACTTTAGCAACATCAAAATGACTTCTTCCTGTATAAAAGGAAATTACCTTTGGTCTTTAAGAGGAATATTTCTAGTAGATAATTTGGAGTTTTAAATAACTATTTCAAATAATATTTTCCACTTTAGACTTTGTGTATGTGTGTGACACTTGGAATGTGATAAACTATCATTTGGGCAAAAGATGTGTCTTATTTAAGTTATACTTTATATTTCTTAGCATAGTAAATAATATTTGTAGTTCATAATTTCTCTTGGTTTGATTAATTTGTAACTGTTGTTGCATTTGGTCATTGTTGGACTGAGCTATCCAGTCGTATTAGTCCTATTCCTGCCAGTTTCCAAAAATTGTATGAAATGCTTCCTGATTTAGATTCACAATGAATATTTATGTAATTTAGGCAAAGTTTAATTTTTAGAATGGTTTATTCATAAGTTTTTTTGATAAATACAGTAATCCTCTTGTACGTACAGGGACTACATTTCAAAACCCTAGTGGTCGCCTTTAACTGCAAATAGTACCAAACCCTATGTAAAATATTTTATCCTGTATAAACATACATACAGACATTCCTGCATGGTTGTTTATTTATAAATTAGGCATAGTAGGGATTAGCAACAGTAATGAATAATAGAATAATTATTTTGTAATAAAAGTTATGTGAATGTGGTCTCCTCTCTCTCAAAATATGTCATATTTCACTTTTTCACATAAAGGAAACACTTTGTGGCTTCTCTTTGGCTTATCTAAATTGCCAGCATTACTATTTTGTGCTTAGAGGCCATAATTAAGTAAAATAAAGGTTAATTGAACACAAGCATTGTGATACCACAACAATTGATCTAATAATCAGGAAAGCTAGTAAGTGACTAGCAATATATAGTGCAGATACTCTGGACAAAAGAATGATTCATTTTCAAGTGGGAGGTGTGGGGTGGTGTAAGATTTTTATCATGCTACTTAGAACAGCATGCAATTTAAATGTATGAATTATTTATTTTTTGAATTTTCCACAATTGACTGTGGGTAAGTGAAACTGGGGAAAATGAAATTGTGGATAAAGGGAGAGTGCTGTATTATTTTTATATCAGCTCACCTGGTACTCCTGTTTGACAGTATGGACAGTATTCTAATAACGTTTGTTTCTTGAATTTAAAGAAGGATTATTATTTGAATATCCTCTGGAACAAGCCAAGCAAATTTGTTTACTATCAAATTTTGTAAATAAGGCTTTATTGGAGCACAGCCATGTTCATTTATGTAGGTTTTGTCAATGGCTCCTCTCATGTTATCACGAGGAGTTGGGGGGGTTGTATCGGTTACTATACAGCCCACAGAGCCTGAGCTGTGTATTCCCTTTTCTAGCAAAAGTTTCCTAACCCCTACTGAAGAGCATTCAAATATCTATCATTATCTCTCTCTCTCTCTCTCTCTCTCTCTCTCTCTCTCCAAGGGATCCTTTGAGTAAAGTCTATCGATATTCACAATTCATTTATTCAGTAGTCTTTATTAAACATCAGTTTTGTACTAGGCAAATTTGTGAACAAGGCACATAAAATCTTTCCTCTCATGATGGTATCATTTTAGTGTAGAGGAGACAAGCAGCTATGAATATTTTCCTCTTAAAAAAAGTAAGTCTTTTTTCCTGATCAGATGATTCATTAAATTGTTAACAAAATGTGATACTGAGAGATTTACCAACTGCATCAACCTTTGGATAAGTATAGGTGATGTAATTTCCATTGTTATCAGGGCTTATTTTCTTCATCAGCAAAGTTTGAAGCAGTCATCCTCCTTTTTAAGTATTTTGGTTTCTTACCTGCATTTAAAATAATTTAAGTTGGGTTTCTCAGCGTACTTGTTAGCGGCTCAGTAGGTAGAAATAGCCATAAAGTTCATTGTCAGATTTTTTTTTTCAAAGAAATTTAATGCTACAGTTAAAGAATTTGTAATATGTCATTCTATTACAGTTTATATGCCTTATCTCATATACTTCTAATTCTATGGATTATTATTAGAGTTCTTGTTTTGTAGAGCAAACCAAAATTTAGCAAGATGAGATAAAACAGTTAAAACATGGAGCTCCCATTGACATTTTGGCCTGGCAAACTGGGGGGCTGATGCTCTTGGTAGTCATGCTGCTTGGTGCTTTTTGAGATTTATAAATAAATATTTTCAAATTAACATTAATTACTATAAGTGAAACTTTAATTTCAATTGCTCTTTTTTATTTTTGCTATGGAATACTAACATTTGAAGATACAGAAGATAATTTTCTTTTTCTTCATATGTGTGTGTTTATGTGTGTTGAAGATAACAGCATAATCCAGGGAAGTGGAAAAGAAGGAATCTGCAAAGAAAAAGCCCACAAAAACATAACACAGCAAGGCAGAAAGCGAATTTCATCAGGAAATTCAGAAAGTGTAACAGTAGGACAAGATGCAGGAAAAAAATGCAAAGATATTGATCAAGAAGAGCCTGTCATTTCATCCAAGGTGATTTTTACAAAGTTCATCATTTGATTGTTTTATCAAATGTTTTGAGTAGGTATTAATTATGTATTGTATACATCATGGAGACCAAAACTGTTTTTTGTGAATGAGTTTATGAAGATGAAAACCAGTTTACAGAAACTAATCCTTAATATATGGATTTAGTATTTTCATTGCAGAAAGCAAAGCCATGAACTTCAGAAATTTTCAGACTGAAAAACATGGAGATCCTTTTCCTTTTGTCCTAATTTGTCAAATTTGTCACCTTTATTCTGAAAACCTCTCTGCTTCTATTCCATTGGTCATTCATGACCTACACATAACCATGTTTTTCTTGCTAAGTGTGACGAGAACAAGTGATAGAGTAGTTCTTCATAACTAGTTGCAGGATCACTTCTATAGTGATCCTAGTAGTATTCATAGGCCTTTCCTTTCTTTTTTCAGGTTTTACTGTCTAGAATGATTGGTGCTCCTTGACATTGGATATTTAAAGAAAAGGAGACATTTTTATTGGATGCATTTTGGAAAAGAGAGAAAGATAGAGATGGCCTCAGGGTAGAAAATTCAGGCATTTTTCTTTGCAGAAAGATGGCTTAAGGTGACAGTTTTTATGACTCTTGTAGACCAGTGACTGAGGTTTGTAAGGTCCCTGTCTTTTTAGTCTTAGAAAAGTCAAAGGTATAGGGTGTTGGTCTTGGAAGAGCATGCATTGGAATACTGGAAATATCCAAGCAGCCACTTGAGTGGTCAGTACTTTTATATGCCACCTTCACTCCTGCCTCTTCTCCCAAAGAGATGAACCAGCCTGTCAGTGGAACCACTCTTCCAGCTAGAGAAATGGGCCTAGTTCCTATAGACTGAACTCCTTTGCTTACTTATGGAGTTACGTTTAATAAATGAAAAAAGAACAGATTCTGACTTACGACTATTTACCATAAAATTTACTAAAATAAAACTTGTCTTATGTAAATGTTGGCCTTCATACATTCTATTCTTTGAATCTTGACTTATCAATTGATGCTACCTTTTCTCAAGAAGAGAAATTATTTTGTTCAGAAGAAAATCTTTAGCATACATGTTTTACTATGTTCATCCTAACTCATAAAATTTTATAATCAGAAGAAAAATTGTAAGGAACATTTAGTTTGATAGGTAGAGAGTAGCAGTAAGTAGATCCAAGATACTCAAGGTATTTGTGAGATTTTGATGACATCAAGGAAGTATGTACAGCCAGGTCCTAGGAAGGCCTAAGCTCTTCTTGGCTGATTGCTGTTTCACTCTATTATGGCTTGTATCTAGATGCCTCATGCTGTTAGAGGTGGGGCTTTTCAGAGGTGGCTGGATCTAGAATGTGTGATGCTAGGATTAAGGGTGAGTGATTACTAAATTAGTCAATTGATTGGTTTGGCATAGTTCTGGATGTGGATAATGGGAAGGCCTTACCCTGGGTATGAGCACTGCTCACCCAAGGGCATGTAGCCTGAAGAGAGCTGCTGTCATCACTTGCTGCTTGTCACTTGCTTCTTGTGGCTTTTGCTGCCTTCTGCCTATCACAAGCTGTTTCTCCTCTGTGATGCCCCTCTGCCATACCACCCTGCTTTGAAGCCAGCCAACTATGAACTGAAACCTCTATAAACTGTGAGCCAAAATAAACTTTCCTCCTTTAACTTTGAGTGTCAGGTATTTTGTCTCAGTAATGAGAAAAAGTAACTAAGACACTCTCTTAGGGCTTCTGTGCAAGATTTACCTCTTCTAGCTTAGGAGAAGCAAAATTGAAGCTTTCATAACCCTTTGTGCAGGTCTCTCTGGTATTGCTGGGCCAGGGCCATGACTGAGACTGAAGACCTAAGCAGGGCCTTTCCACAGTTCATGCTTTGTCTCTGCCCCATTCTAGTCTCACTCTTAACCCTGGTGAGCAGCTGGTCCTGAAGAGATGGCTACAATGCAGAACATATGAGAGAGAAAATTAAATATGAGAGGCAATAATGAATTAGGCTCATCTATCTAATGTGATAGTGGGAGGTTGCCAGTTACAAAAAACTCAGAACAGTTTGGCTAGGCCTGCAGGGTAGATTCAGTATCATTCAGTACCTTTGAGGAAAAAAGAACCCAGGTCACATTGTTAGGAGGCTCGAGCCTCAAATATGAGTCTTCGTATTTTGGGTATAATGGATTTTTCAGCAGTGTATATTAGATTATATACAAGAATTTTGTGACTCTAGTAACTTTTCTACATGAAGATAATTACTCTGAAATAGTTCATATTTTTCATCTTTTTTATGTTTTTTTTGCAACTCATTACCAGTTATGCAGTTTTCTAATTTAGGGATAAAAATGAGAGTTCTCGAATTGACTCATGAACAAGATAGTTGTGGTTTAAACATTTTTGTCCTCTCTAAAGATTCATGTTGAAACTTGATCCCCAGTACTACACCATGTTGGGAGGTGATTAGCTCAAGAGGAGCCTTGTGAGCACACTCCTTCCTGTGAGTGTATTAAAGCAACTCTACAATGGGCTTGCCAGAGTGGGTTTGCTTCTTTTGCTCCTCTGCTGTGTGTGTTCACAGTGTTCTTTCTCTCTTTCCCTTTAACCTTCTGTCAGGTGAGGGCACAGTTAAAAATTCCACATCTGATGCCAGCACCTTGACCTTGGGCTTCTCACAAGCCAGGGCTGTGAAAGAATAAATTTCTGTTCTTTGTAAACTACGGAATCTGTGGTGTTCTCTTATAACAGCACAAAACAGACTAAGACAAGGGTACTTCTGTGGCTAATCTAATTAGAAGTCTATTGTAAATGTCAGAAGGGACCCTGACACAACTAAAGCAAAGTGGTACTGTGAAAAATATCCTGTGTCTATTGCCAGCACAGCACTTAGTGGCTTAACCCAACAATGATTTATTATTTCTCTTAATTCTATGCATGAGCTGATTTGGGCAAATATTTATCACATGCTCATTCTATGCATGAGCTGATTTGGGCAAATATTTATCACATGTGATAATGCCCATTATCACGTTGGGCAAATAATGAATCACATGTAGGATTCATTAACTCTACTGGCTAGATGCAGTGACGGTGAATCTTTTAGAGCTTTCATTGTGCAAACAGTTCTTGTGCCATAGGGTTGCCACTACTGCTTGGAGCATTCAAGAGGGAGATGGCTTCACTCATGACTGGTGCCTCTGCAAGGGCTATTGGAATAGCTGGAATCTGCCTGGTTCTGCTTTCCTCCATGTATCATTCACTGATCTAGACAACGCCTTCATCTGGCAGCTGAATCCTAAAAGTCAGGATAATAGCAGCTTCTAGAACTTTTAAGGCCTAGAACTGGAACTGGTATAGTGTTATTTCTACTACATTCTTGTGGTTTGAACAAGTTACTAGGTCCCAAGTAAATAGGATAGCAGGTTGAAGAGCAAAGAAGATAAAAATATGGATTGAAAAATCTCTAATCCAAAATTTCAAAATCTGAGGTGCCCTGAAATCTGAAACTTTGCCTGCTGACAAGACACTCAATAAATTTTGGATTTGGGAGCACTTAAGATTTTGAATTTTTAGATTGTGAATGCTTAACTGGTCTCTGCAAATATCTCCCCTCTCCCCCTGCCAACCAAAAACAATGATGATGAACCAACCTGAAATCTGAAATGTTATTGATCCCAAGTATTTTGAATAAGAGTTATGGCATTGATACAGTGTTATGGTCTGTGTTTGGATGTCCCCCTAAAGCCTCATAGTCATGGGGGTGGGCTTCTAGAGTTTGTGGTTGACTCATGGTCCAATGCTGGAGTTATGGGTGTGAGCGTTACACTCACTCTAGGGTGGGTAGTCTACATACATACAATATAAAGGACAGAAAGAGGCTTGCTTTCTCCATCCCCTTTTTGTTCTTGTTGCTCTTGCTGTCTTCTGCTGCCATGAACTGTTGCCCGTGTGCCACACCACCCTGCCTTGGAGCCAGCTGATTATGGACTGAAATCTTTACAAACTGTGAACTAAATAAACCCTTCCTTCCTTAATTTTGGATGTCAGATATTTTGTCCCAGCAACCACAGTAAAGTAACTAAGACAGAATTTGGTACCAGAGGAATGGTGCCATTGCTATGACTGTACCTGACTATGTGGTATGAAGAGCCCTTGGAAATGGCTTGTGGGAAGAGTTTGCAAAGGTTCAGAGATGTCAGCTGAAAGAGTAGTTTTGGAACACCTTAGGTTGTTCTATATGGAAGATTCTGGTCAGAGCTCAGAAGACCAGAAAACCAGTAAAGACCAGGCTCAGGGGGTTTCTGCTGGGAAGAAGGCCTGCACTGGTTGTTGGACTCCAGATGATGTGTGTTACAGCTTGGTAAAAAGTTTATCTGCATTTTGCTCATGTTCAGAGACTTTGCCTGAGACTGATATTAAGGGTGGCTGAGGGGCTGGGGATTTAGCTCAGTGGCATAGTCCCTGCCTGACAAGCGCAAGGTCGTGAGTTTGATTCCTGGTACCGGAAGAAAAACAAAACAAAAAGGGTGGCTGACTAATTAAACAGTAGAAAAAAAATTCACTGCAGTCTAATGTTGAGGTGGTGACATGGCTACTGTTGGGGGCTTTTAGCCATGCTTATGTTGAGAATAAAGAGCAAAGAGCCCAGCAGGATGGTTCAAGACCTTGTGAGTTTGGCCAGAAAAAAAAAACCTCCAGTAAAGCTGTGGACTACAAGGATAGAGCTGAGATCTCCCTTACTGAGAAGGAACAGGAGAATATGAAAGATGGCCTGAGGGCATCACAAGCAGCAGCAAGTCTCCAGTTTTTGCTGCCTCAAAACTGCAAAGGTGGAAGACTTTGCTTTGAGAAGAAAGCAGCAGAGCACCATGTTCCAGAATGGCAGTGGCTTCATCATGTGCCAGAATGGTGGTGACATAGAGAATTTGTTCCTCAGACTTGGATTCAGAATGCTTAGCAATCCAGGCACTTACTTGACCCCCACAGCCAAGAGAGAAGGAAAGCTTGGCTACTGCTCCAGCTGGCAGCAGACATCAGCATCATCTGTGGCAGCAGACATGGTGCCAGTTTTAGGTGCATGCAGAATGCAAGAGTTTTGAGGTTCCAAAGACTTCCACCCAGATTTCAAAAGAAGATCTGGGAGGCCAGGCAGTGTGCCCCTGAGAGGTAGTGTATGGAGCTGTGAAGGTAAAGCCAGAGGTGCAGTGGAGACACCAGAAATTTGGAGAGGCCAGGAACATGGATCATCTGAGGAAAACTGCAGGGAGGAGGCAGAGTGGGCCCAAGAGAGAAGCCCTGGGAGCCACCAGCACTACTGGAAGTGCCCTGGGATCAGAGCCCCACCAACCCTTCGGAGTTGACCATTTGCCACAGGTTGCATCAGATGCTGCTGGATGTTGGACTTGCTTTGGTCCATTTCTTTTGTTTTCCCCTGTTTGTAGCTCTTGGAATGAAAATGTCTTTTTTTTGTCATTGAATGTTGGAAGTGTTGAACTTTATTTCATTTTTACAGGAGCTCTGGCTAAGAGTTTGCCTTAAATCTCAGAGGAAACTTGGGACTGGAACTTTTCAGCCATGCTGAAACTGTTAAGACTTTGACAACTGTGAGATAAACTAAATGCCTTTTGTATAAAGTGATGTTCATGGGTCTTTGGGGGGCCAGCGGCAAAACGTTATGGTTTGTGTCTGGATGTTCCTTCAAAGCCTCATGCAGTTGTGGGGGTGGGCTTCTAGAGTTTGTGATTGATTCATGGTCCAATGCTGGGATTATGGATATGAATGTAATGGACAGAAAGAGGCTTGCTCTCTCTCTGTCTCTCCCCTCCCCTTTTGTTTTTGTTGCTTTTATTGTCTTCTGCCACCATGAACTATTGCCATGCTACCTGGCCTTGGAGCCAGCTGATTATGGACTGAAACCTCTGCAAACTGTGAGCTAAATAAACCCTTCCTTCCCTAATTGTAGGTGCTGGGTATTTTGTCCCAGCAATGAGAGAAAAGTAATCAAGACACACAGTCAAGAAATAAAAAGAATATGAGCTAGGACTATAACTAAGGATAGTGATGAACCACTGGATTAGAAAAATATCTAAGAAATAAAACTGCAGGACTTACTGCTCAGAACTGGAGAAAGTGTGGGAAAGAAGGAATGAAAGACTTCCAAATCTCCAGGAAGGATGAATGCATGCATTTGTGTTGGCAGAAATTATGGTAGAGAACACAGAGATGGTTATTTCAGTTTTGATGTTTAAAGTTCGAGGTGCATAGAAAATGAGGAAAAAATATTTAGATAGTGGGTGAATATGTGAACATGAACCTCAAGAATGAAATTAGGACCTGGCAGCTGGGATCTTTTAGTTATTATCATGTGGATTCTAATGGTATTGATGCAGTACTTTTAAGGCAATTTAGCACAGGCCTTCTTGCCAAGGGCAGCTTGGAAACAACATATTGTTTCATTGAATTTATGTTAAAGGGGCATTCTTTATCCTGTCTGTTGCAGAACATTAAAACTTCAGATGGTTGAGGTGTTGGAGAGGGCTTGTTGGGCAAGTCCATTCTAGCTATCTCCAAGCACCAAGGTCACTTCTCACCAGCTGCATGGTTCTTGGTCCCTGAGTTCTCCAATGTTACCAGAAAGCTGAGTCATAACACCATAAAGAGCTAGTACCAAAAGGAACTAGCAACACACTTCAAGTTTTTGTGTTTTTGATGAAAGATTTCAAACAAGTCACATAGGCCATTTTATAGGTTGCATGTATTGCAAAATGATAAATTTTCAAGTGAGTGAGAGAGAAAGAATACCAAGCATGAAGTTGAGCAAGTGCCAAAATAGCAGTTACACTGAATGAAGCCTCAGGTTACATTTATGTGATTAACCAAGTTTTTCAAGGAACATCCTTTCCTTTTTTTGAGGTCATTTTGCTTTTACAAATACAATGGGCTGTGTTTACCTATTTCAGAGGAATTTCACTCCTGTTATGATTTGTGCCTTGATGTCCCCCCACCTATGACCACATGTGATCATAGAGTTTTTTTGGAGGTGGCTGAATCTAGAGTGTGTGATTGGTTCACAGTGTAATGCTGGGATTAAGAGTGCTAGGATTAAGGGTGAGTGATTACTGGATCAGTTGGCTGTTTGGATTAGCACCACCCTGTTCTCTGGTAGGCTGGTTACAATATAAGGGACAGAAAGAGGCTTGTCTTTTTCTTCTTTCTTGTTGCTTTGGCTGTCTTCCACCACCATGAACTATTGTCCTTCTGCCATGTGCCACCCTGCCTTGGAGCCAGCCGATTATGGACTGAAGCCTCTACGAACTGTGAGCTAAATAAAACTTTCCCCCTTTAAGTTTACATGTCAGATATTTTGTCTCAGCAATGAGAAAAGTAACTAAGACAACTCCTTGGATGGATGTCTCAGCTTAGTTTGTTCTGAGACTGTGAGCATCCCCTAATCCATAGTCTGAACTAGTATGGGCCTTATCAGCATGCGCAGAGGATGTTATAGTCTTTGAGCTAAAGTTTGAAACCACAAGCTTGTATGGATTTCACCTGTAGCTAATGACTTAAGAAAGCAAAGGGAGAAAAAAAAAATGATGTTTTCATCACTTTTCAAAGCGGCCTGTCTCCCAGCCTTCTAGTATCTTTCTGCCTAACATGTGACATATGTTGTTATAGTTTAGACCTAAAGTGGCCCCCAAGCCTCATATGTTTTGAAGGTGATTCGATTATGTGGGCACTATTCCTGACTGGCTGAAATAATACAGTCAGTGCATAGTAAGAGCATGACACATTGTTGAACATCAACACTGAAGAGCTGTTTTTGAGAGAGATTGTATTCAAATGAAATAAAATGTTTTAACTTATGTTTTGTGTATATTTTTTCTGGTTATTTTTTCAATGAATGTGTCACATGGTCATAAAAGTTTGTTACAAGTGTAGATTTATTTTATAATAACTGAAAAATTTTTTTAAAGTTTGAAAACTAGAGACATAGAAAGTAGTGGTATTTTTAATACCTTTAAAATGTGAATCTTGATGTTTTAAAAATTTATATTGCATGGATCTTGTATTTTCATGCTCTTATGCTTAATGCATACATATTATTTATTTATTTATTTATTTATTTATTTATTTATTTTTTGTCTTTTTCAGACAGGGTCTCACTATGTAGTTCAGGCTAGCCTTCAACTCACTTTGTAGCCCAGGATGGTCTCGAACTTGCAGTGATCCTCCTGCCTCAGCCTCCTGAATGCTGGTATTGCAGATGTGTGCCTCCACACCTGGTGCATATATAATTTTAAAAATGTTTCATTTATTTCTCTTTTTTTATAGGAAATGCCTGAATCATTTTCTGCTACCATGTTAAGTAATCCAGATATGCGTACTTTGAAGATTAATACACAGAGAAATGAAATTCCAGTTGTGGAATTTGGTAAGATTTCTGAACATAAAGACATGACTAAAGGAACACTAAATAAACAAGATGAGGCAGTGAGCTTTTTTGAGAGTTCGAGTGTCCAAGGCAAGTCATTCTTCAGTGAGTCTCAGAGATCTCGTCATAAGTCCAACTCTGAACCTTCCAGTTCTGAAGCTTTACAGGCAAAGGCAACTGATTCACTTCCACAAAGTTCACAAGAGAACAAGGTCAAGAGGTCATCCTGCATGTATGGAGCAAACTGCTACAGGTAAAATGAAATTACAAGTAGCATATAATTCCATTATTTCAATAACGTGTAGCTATGTATATATATCATATAGTGTATTAAAAACCTAATAAAACCCCATTGGCCTAAATGTTAGGCACTTTACCATGTTTCTTCTGGTTTGCACTTTCTCAGTATGGATTCTAGCAAATCCTGCCAAATGCTTTTAAGATACAATGGGGAATTAAATGTTTTATATGTAGACATGCTGACTAATGAAAGGCTGTGAATACTGAGGAATCCAGACTTGAAAATTGAATCACTCAGACTTAAATACCTGTTTATTTAATGTCTTACCATTAGAATAAAGGTTTCATAAGTAGTTGTATAGTCTAAAAGTTAGATAATTTTAGAATGTGTTTAGGTAGCTTATTATATTTCTGTGTTTTCTTTTCTATTTTTGTAGTTTTTAAACTACAAAATAGTTTAAATAGTATTACTATTTAAATAACCATAGTATCTTCTAAAACAACTATCTTAATAGTACATTCTAGTAGTTTGTTGTATTATATGTAAATAGTATATTTACATCACATACTTTGATAGTTTTATATTCATACTATTTCTTTTTAAAATGCATTATCATTTTAGTGCTTGAATAACCATATTTTTCAATTTTAAAGTTCTAATTGTTGCATTTATACCCAATTATTTCTGTTTTCAGTGGCCTTAGTACATTTGGAACATAAAATAAAAACTTGCAGAATAGAAGTTTATAAACTTTTATTACTTTTGATTTTTAATATGACAGACTAGGTGAATTAAACAATAGAAATATATTTTCTCATAGTTCTGGAGGCTGGACTTCCTAGGTTAAAGTGGTGATGTGTTTGATTTCTCCTGAGATCTCTCCTTTTGACTTGAAATGGCAACTTTCTCATGGCGTCCTCACGTAGCCCTTTCTCTGTTCTAGTGCCTCGCTAATACCCCTTTGTCATTGTATAAGGCTACCAGTCATACTGGATTAGGGCCTACTCTGTGACATCATTTAATCTTTTTGTTTGTTTGATTATTTGAGACAACGTCTCTTAACCTAGGCTGGCCTTGAACTCACGGCAGTCATCCTGCCTCACCCTCTCAAGTGCTAGGATTATAGGTTTGTGCCATCACACTCAGCTTCATTTAATCTTAATTATTTTTTGAGGGCAATCTCTGAATACAGGGGATTAGAGCTTCAACATAAGAATTTTAAGGGAGACACAGTTCAGTCCATGGTATTAGTGAGTACAGTCATTTATCTTTGTTGAAGGGTGATTAAATATTTTATCAAGATCATAATTATTCATTCATATTTGATAAAAATACATGTTAATTTAAATATGTTTACTGGTACTAGAACAGAGAAAGGGCTATGTGAGGAAGCCATGAGAAAGTTTCTATTTTCAAGTCAATAATGCTTAACTGTAAATTCTTCAGTTTTTCCCTACTAGTGGGGCTGGGGATTTAGCTCAGCGGCAAAAGCGCCTGCCTGGCAAGCGCAAGGTCGTGAGTTCGGTTCCCGGTACTGGAGAAAAACCAGTTTTTCCCTAGTAATATCTGAAAACTGTGTAACACTGAAACCTTGAAAATAAATTGTTTATGTGTGTAACAAAATGGGGAAATAACATAAATTGAGTTCACGTTATGTATGAACATTTTAAAAATAATTTTCTTTAGCTTCAGTGCTACTGCTTCAGTTCATACTGATGTCTCCCCTTGGGACAAGTGAAGAATTACCTAAGCCTCCCTACTTGCCTCCAAGTTTACATTCCTCACTGTTGCCTCAGTGACTTGGCTAAGAAAATAAAAACAAAGATGAAAATAAAGAAAAGGATGGAAGGGAGTCCAATAATACTATTTTTCTGCATAGAATATTTGAGAGACTGAAGTTGAGTTTTCTTAACATGGTCTGGAAGGTCCTCAAGTCCTGTAATCTTTGAGTCAGTTGTGCTATTTTATGACCCTTGGACTTGCCATTCTTCTCGTCTTGCTTCTTTTGCTTAGAAACCCTGCTCATATTCAGTCTTTTCTGAGTCCTTTTCTGACATTTCTGTCCTGACATTTCTATATTCTTCTAACCTGCTCATTGTCTAGTCTACACAGTGTTTTTACCTCAGACTGTTTGTAACATTTTTTTATTAGATCTAATATTTAGTATTCAATATTTGATTTCCAGTTATTTATTTGTTTTTTGTCTCAGGACAGACAGAACATTATTTTTAAGGTTAGTCTTATTCAGTTCCATCCTATCAACTTCCAAATCTGTATTTCCACAACAAATTTCTGTGTTGAATTTTATATCTGGGCATGTACCAGTAAAACCCAGACAAACTTCAAATTCAACATTTCTAGAGCAGTTACATCTTATTTAAAACCTTTATGAATTAGTAAGATCATAATACCCTCTAACTTTGTTTGTAGGAACTGTTATTTCCAAAAAAATATTTTTGAAGATTTTACTCTTTCAGCGTCATACAATTTTTTTACTTAATACTGTATATTCCATTAGTACTGTAAACAGGTTTTGAAAATGAGACATAAGTTGAATTGTCTCTTATTAGCACATCTGAAATGTATTCCTTAGTTATAGCTTGCAGCTTTTGTCTGTATAAGGTCACATAAATCATCTAAGGATTAATGGTATATATTGTAATGTTTTTACTTCTGTTAAAGGTGAAGCATCTCGTTTAACACAAAACCTCCTACTGAAAACAACTAGAAACACTGAACACTCACATTTGAAAACATCAAAGGCCGCAGAATTTTGAATCTCCTTTTCCCCTTGTGACAGTTGCCAAATGTTTGATGTCACCCAAGAGCTAAGAGGCCAAGCAGAGTTTTGGGGAAGCTCATGGGGCTTGGACAACATAAATGGATTTCAGTGTTTACCAAGTGGGCAAGGCCCTGGATATTGAAGCATAAATACCCAGAGGAGAAATATGAATACAAATATGAATGACTATTGAGTATACTAAGCAGAATTTATACAACATGCAAAACATGCAAAACATTTTTATGAGTACATGGTTACAGTGCATAATGTTTACATTCCTTGTGTGGGTGGGTACATGTATATAGCACCTCTTAATTCTTTTTTTTCATCTCCTTTTCCTACAAGTTATAATTAAGGCATACATTTCATATGTGCTAATAAGAGAAAATTCAACTCATGTCTGATTTTTAGAACCTGTGTACAGCACTAATGCAATATACAGTATGAAGTATTGTTCAGTTCTTTCAAATTTTCAAGTTGACAGGAATAAGATTGTTTTACAGTATTCTTCACTATCCTTCTATCTTTTCAATGTCTGGAAGAGTTTTAGTGATGTCCATTTTGTTCGTTTCTAGTGTTGGTAATCTGTCCCCACACCCTCCTGCTCTGTTCTCTCTCTCTTCTTTTTCAGTCTTTCTAGGGATTATTCATGTTGTTAGTCTTTTCAAATAAGCAGGCTTTGGTTTTTCCATTTTATGTCTTCTTTTCATCACTTTCTTCTCTACCCCTTTTATCTTTTTCTTCCATGTTCTTTAAATTTAATTTGCCATGCCTTTTCTAAATTCTTAAAGTGAAAACTTGGATCATAGATTATGAGTCTTTCCTGTTTTCTTACATATGCATTTAAGAATGACAGTCCTCATTATTGATTGGGGATAATTTGATTTCTTTAAATACAATATAATGTAACTATTTGATATACCTGATTGTAACTCTATCATTTTACTGTGTTGTTTTTCCTATTTATCCAATATGTTATCTTTCTGGATGAAAAGAAAAAACCCTCTATTTACTTATAAGACTCACATCTTAAATTTAAGGACGCATAAAGGTTGAAACTTTAAAGATGAAGAAAAATTATAAACTCTAAGTGAAGAAGAGCTTGTGTATCCATGCTAATATAAGATAAACTTAAAGTAAGAAGCAATAGAGCTGAAGAGGGTACTGTGGTTTGACTGTGTCCTCCATACTTATGTGGTAGAAAATTAGTCCCTGGTGGGCAGTGTTGGGACGGGAGGCAGAGAGGGAAGTGTTCAGGTTATGGGGGCAGAGCCACCATGAGTGGATTATTGTCTTTTTGTGGGCCTGAATTCTTGCTTTCATGGTACTGTACTAATTATGGTAAGAACTCATGTTTATAACTTGGGTTATAAAGCAAGTCCATTACTCATGTTTTGTCCCTTCTGCAAGTGAATATGTAAAGAACAAATTTGTGTGTATGCGTATATGTGGGGATCCTTACCAAAATGGATATAAGTAGAAATGTAAAATCAAAATAGTCACATATGTATTAAAATAAATTCATAATTAAATTAATATATTTACAAGGAAAAGTCTGAGATTGCATCACTAGTGAATTATATTAAGGAAGAAAAAGAACTATGTATGTGTATATATATGATTTTAGAAAAAAACATCTTCCACCACATTTCATGAAACTAGTAAAATCTAATAAGGATATAGAGTCAAAAATCCTAAATAAGATAGTAATGAATTAATTCCAGCTACATATTACAACAAAGCTATATTTATTCTAAATTTGACTTATACAAAGTTGGTTTAATATTTACATATTAATGAATGTAATTTACCATATTAGTAGGTTGTATTAGTGTGTGAGGGATATATATTAGTGTGCAATATTAAAGGATGCTATAGCACACCATGCACTAGGAGGCTTAAATAACAGAAGTTTATTTTCTCACAGTACTGGAGGCCAGAAGTCCTTTAGCAGGTGTCAGCAAGTTTGGTTTCTTCTGAGATCTCTCTCCTTCACTTATAGATGGCTGATATCTCCCTGTCTGCCTTTACATGACCTTTCTTCTGTCCTAACACCTCACTTGTGTCTCTCCCTCATTTTATAAGAATACCAGTCATACTGGATAGGGCCTTACCCATATGACTTCATTTAACCTTAATTATCTCCTTAAAGGCTCTGTTTCCAAATACAGTCATTAGGGAGTAGGTTTTCACCATATGAATTTTAGAGGGGCACAATTCAATCTATAAC